CTGGGTTTTATTATAGCCCCTGACAAACACGCTGTGGACATTGAAGTAGAGGTAATGAAGGCTGCTGGTTCTCAGTGAGGAGTGTTTTCATGATGAACAAGTTAAGAGAGTGTAACAACCTTTGGTCCTGTGCATCAGATGTTAATTCTCTAGTGGTGCACTCACATGGTGGACCTTTATAAAATATTTCAATCTCTGGGGATTGTTAACATTTTATCTATATAAAGATAATGCAATTTTATTCATGAAAGGATGTCTAGCTAGTTATTCGTTTTCTCTTTCTGTGGTGATGGGCTGTAATGGCAAGGGAAGCAAATGGGAATTATGGGATCATACTGTACACTTGAAAACGTGGGGTGCAGAGAAAGTGTAGATGTGATGTTACCATGCCCAGTAATGCCTTATATCATAAGGGCAAAATATTCCATGAGCACATCAATATTTTGATGTTTTCTTCTTTACCACCATTGTAATAATGGTGCTCACAGTGAAATCAGGCTGTAAATGTTGAGCTACACTGCTTAGGTAGCATTTGTAAGCAGTTTGTATGACCTGACCTCTAATTAGGAGAACATATTGTAAAGTGTTAATGCACCAGCACACTAAACACAGCAGGTGAAACATAATGGTGACCTTTTAAACAGCCAGAATGGTTATTTTTCAGTGTTTTGCTTCCTCTTCTAGCCCACCCTTTAGGGAATCTATATGTATTTACTAACAGACCTATGTTACCACAGGACTGGATCAGAGGGCTGTTTCAGATAACAGGATTAGCAGGTTAGCTCGGGAACTTAAATGTCAGTGAAATATCCTCTGAAGTTTTGTTTTGTAGTAGCTATCCTCTATTCATGACTGAAATATATTCCTAAACCAGATATTCAAACTGTATTTTCCAGATTCCACTCTGTATCAGAGAGATCATCTCTCTCACAGTTAGCTGGCTGCCACTCTGAATCTGCTTTGTCCAACACCTCTCACAGCAGCAGGTATTTTAACTTTCTTTATATGTGCCCCAGCGTTGGAAACTCACCTGTAGTGATGTAAAACCCTGTTACTAAATGGTACCACAATTCACATCACATCTGTAATAAAGTCTCTACCTAAATGCTCTCTGACTGAACCACCACGCTGCTGTACTCTTTAACATGCTGTTTGTGCTATAAAATGAGATTAAACTAGATCGGTTCTCCTTTTGCTTTAAGTTTCCTTTCTCTCTCAGTCAAGTTTAAAAACTGCTTTTGTTTTCAGAGGTCTGTTACAGAACCTGACCCTCCCCTGCCCCCAACTTTGTGACACCTAAATTTATTGTGATTGTTTAAAATATATAAATAAAATGTATATCTCTGTACAAAATTTTAATCGTCTTTTTTTGCCTTTAAACTTGTCTGCAGATCAGAACATGCACTTAAAATGAATTCAGTGTGCTGAAATGTTTCAGTGTGGAGGAAGATTTCTGACAACACTACGCTAACAAATCATTGAAACAGGAAATGAATGCAAGAGACATCACAATGTTGCGCCAGACTGTTCCGCTGTCACCTTTATGTAATCAGCTAATCTCTGGAAAGTATCTTGGTTTCCCAATACCTCAGCATTCCCCTAATCCCCCTTCAAGTCCACATTAGAGAGTCAAACAGATCTGAACTGTGGATGAGAGCGCTGCAACTAAAAAATTATAAAACAAACAAGTTAAAAATAATTGTAAAATTATTATAAATCTTAAATTCTTAATGCACAGGTATTAAATGTAAAACAGAATAATGAAAAATATAAAATAAAGTTATAGTGTTTTTGAATTTCCCTTTTGTTCAGTATTATTATGGTAGATATATGTATGTATATTTAAATATTCCATTATTTGTACCTGAACCTGTGCAGGTGGAACAACAGGTGCCTGAGATATTATTGGTAAACAACCCCTCAGATGATGATGTCAGAGGCTTAGTGATGAAGAGGTTTATCACGTATGATGATGTCTGTCTGGCAGTCCTTTACTCCACACACCTGTGACTGCTTCAGAGTGCTGTGGACCATAGAGGAAATACCTGAGCCAGGTAAGAAATGACAGAAATGCAACAAAGATTTGTCCTTAAGCTGTAAACTCAGAAAGTCTCTGTGGTTCTTCTGATGCAGGTTATTTGCTGGCGCATTTTGGTGACAATGAACCCGCTGGAGGATGTGCCGTTACAGACCCTATTGGGTCCGCTGGAGGAGGAAATACACATGGTGACGGCTCCAGATATCACTATACCAGACTGCCAAAAGATCCTGCGAGAAACTCAGGTCGAACATCCGAGTGACTGTCCCATATTTTCTGTTTTTAATGGATTTCTGGGAACCATTCATCAGCTTCAGTGTTCCCTCGTAGCTTTTAGATTGTAGAAGGTCTTTGCAAATTCTGCTAAAGAAGTGAAATCAATGGTTTCCCTGTTCATTTGAATGTTTTTATAATGTTTAAAAAAGTCTGATACTATATCAGATTTGTCACAGCCCAGAAAATATTCCCCAAAAACAATTTGCATATCAATGATTTTTTTTAATATCCAAGTTGGTTAATATGTTGTAATGAGTAATGATCTAAATACATAATTATGGACATGTTTAATTGTCAAAATACTGTTTTGTATTCCTACTGGAAAGTTAAAAAGTATTTTGGGGTTGCAGTTTTCTTTACTTTTGTGATAAACCTTTGCATTTTATCCCTGATATTACTCTATATTACTCTTTTTCACTGAAGACATTTTGACTCATTGTTTTGTTTGTTTGTTTTCTCTGCAGTATGGATTCAACATGGAGAAATGGATTTTAACTGGGCAGCAGCCAGTCTGCCTGGCCCCATCCTGCCCCCCTTACTGGCTGATGTTTAGCAGCCCTCAGGTGAGTCGCAGGGCCAGTCTCAGGAGCAGCGACCCCTGGGCCCTGAGCCCTCGGCCCCGCAGTCACAGTCTGAACTCTACAGACGCCCGCTGCTTGCAGCATCGCACTGTCAAGTTCCTCGTATCTGATTCAGAGGATGAGGACGGTTACTTCGAGGATAATGAAGGCTCCTCAACTGAAGATGCACGTCACCCTGTCAAGAGCAGAGATCGGCCCAGGAGCACTGCACCCAAAGACCCAATCTCCAGATTCAAAGACATACACCTTGGTCCTTCCACTCACCACTGTAAGCCTGACTCACCTCAGAGCCTCCGAGGCCATAGAAGCCCTTCCCTCCAAGACTGCAAAAAACCTCTGCGAGCACTGGAGCAGCACAGGTCACAGCAGGCCAGCCCACTCCCGCACGGGCAGAAGAACGGCAAGAAGAGGCAGCGCCCACTGGGTTCTATGGGCAGGAAGTACTCTCTAAACACACCACCTGCTGGTCCTTCTCCATCCAGACTGCAGCAGCAACGACCCTCCTCTGCCGGGCCTGTTGTCAAAAACCGCAGACAGAAGGTTGTGTTTCTTTCCAGTGTCTCAGAGAATATTTATATAGAATATTTATCATACATTTATCACTTTTCTACTTGTTTTTGTAACTCACAATGCCTGTCTCTGCTTCCCTTCCCATCAGGCGCTGAGGACTGGTGGCTCTTGCGGGGTTTTCTTTGACTCAGCAGCAGAGCTGTTATCAGCACTCAGCCAGGAGGAGAGGGAGCTGCTTGAAACCATCACACAGAATGGCTTCCCCTTACGCACAGCAATTCTGGCTCTGCAGAAGACAGGCTATCGCAGCCCAGAGAAGGTAGGTATTACGTTTAGAAGTTGTTCATCAATACCCATTTAATAGATTATAAACCCTGATAATTAGTGGAGGAAAGTAATAAGGTACATTTAATCAAGTACCTGTACTTGTGTATGTCCATTTTCTGATATTTAATCTCTGCTACATTTAAGAGACAAATATTGTACTTTTTTACTCAACTACATTTATTTGATAGTTGTTACTTTGCAGATTCAGATTAATTATATATCTCCACCTTTACCAGCTGCAACATTAAAGTGATGCTTACACATCAAAGCATCAATATTTATAATATTTATAATCCAATAATATAATACACATTATTCTGAAATGGGCTTTTCTGTACTTTTACCTTAAGCACTTTAAATGTATTTCGATGTTAAAAATATACTGTACTGTACTTCTTTTTGTCTGAGCACTTCTTCCACTTCTGCTGATAATGCACATATAGTACTTTTGAGTTGCCTTCATTAAATGCAGGTTTGATGGCTAATTGTAAAACAAGAACCTACACAATAAGCCAAACATGCATTTAAAGAAGTTTGTCATTGATAAATACTTCAGGTCCAACAGTCAAAGGGAGGGGTCTTTTCTGACCACTGACTAAAAAGATAAAGCAAGGTGGCAAAGGAACAAAATGGATGCTTTATTTGAATGTGGGCTCACCACTTGGCAACCCAGTCTTATTTACGCAATTACAACAGCTTTCTAGTGATTTATAAAGCTCCAAATAAATATAAACCTTATAAACACAAAGTGGTGTGAAGGCGTTTCGTCTCAGTTTACCAAGAAATCTAAGTTATTTGTACTTAAGGCCCAGCAAGCCAATCTTGTAATTATTTGTCCTTTTATCAACAGATCCTAAAGTACCTGGTTGCCAGTGACCGTCTGTGTGAACTGGGCTATGATGAAGCACAGGTAGAGGAGGCATTGGAGATGTTTCAGAACTGTGAGAGCAAGGTGATTCACTTATGAAAAGACACAAAACCAGGACCACAGCCATACCTTTTTTTGCTGACTTTGATGTGCATTAACATGTTTTTTGTATTTTTATTTTAGGCTGCTGAGTTCCTGCGACTTCTGACTCAATTTAATGAGATGGGCTTCCAGCAAAGTGCAATCAAAGAAGTGCTGCTTGTTCATGAAAACCACCGTGAGAGGGCTCTGGAAGAACTCATGACACGCATGGCTTAAACAGACCATTTTCTTAAAGGATTATTCCACTTCAGTATGTGGTCAACGTTGAATATTTAACAGATACTGCCTTCTTACTTGGTCTCAGACTTCACATAAAACCTGTACAACTCAACCATAGGACATAGGACGAAAACATTCAGGTACAAGTAAAAATTAGTCAGGACAATAAACAGTTACACCTAGTGAGGATCAACGTTTTTTTAAAACGTTTATTTACAGCTTGATTTTAAAAAAAAGCACTCAACATTTAGTTTCTGAGGAACAAATTTAGCTGTCATTCCAGCTGGGGGAAGAAAATCTTGGTGCACAGGCTAACTGATGCAGTACTAAAGTAATGCTCTAGATATGCTTAATAACATTTGACTTAAAAAAGGCTGTAACCCCAAAAGAAAAAGTAAAAGAGCCAAAAACAGCCATGGTACACACATCATTTAACTGCCACAAAAATACATACAGCAGAGAACACTGCTCCAGCAGTAACCCTGAAATAAAATAGACGAAAACAGGATAGACAGAGTTTCAAAGTGTTCACATAGATCAAAATATTTACATTTTTTGTAAGAAGTTTACATTGAAGTTCCCTGTTGTCCAATATAACCCACCCCCACCCAAAAAAAAAAAACTACCGCTGAGCTGGATGACTCCCGGTGGCCGAGCAGCTCATCTGAATCATCACTGTTGACTGACGGTGGAGTTCAGCAGTCCTGACTTCACATTTGATTTAGAAGCCTTCGTGAGGTCTCTCTGTAAACAAAGAAAGAATATCAGTATCTGTGTTCACATTAAAAGGTGACAAGATGTTATAGTTAAATAATTGTGACGTGGCAATATGTAATGCAGCTGTATATATTAATTTTAGGAAAAATGTTTTGTTAATGTTATGATATCCCAATTTTAAGAGTAATGTGGTAGAAACTGTGGCCCAAGGAACAAGTTAGTCTTTGGTCTGTCAGAAATTACAGTGGATGATTTTCATAATTTCTCATGAGCTGCTGCACTTATTTGAATAAGAAGAATTTGGTATGTGTATTCATTATTTTATGTATCTTCTGTCTCTGAATATTGTTGCATATGATCAGCTTCTAAACCGAACACAAATAAATACAGTGCATTATGCAGCCTTGGTAAAAGCATGTCTGGTTGCTTTTTAGTTGCTCCATTTGATAATAAGCTGCATTTTTAGTGTGCAGCCATCAAAACACTAAAAGATGGCTCATAGCTTGGCCAAGTTGCCATTGCACTAGCAATCCTTTTTGTCATTTAACAGAATGTTGATCATTCTCTCGTTTTAAAACTAAAAAAAAAATTACATGGTCAATCATGTCTGTGTCTTATGTCAATATAAAACTATAGTGCCTATAACAAAGATTTCAGTTTAAAAAGGGGAAATTGCTTCAGATTTACAAAATGTATTTTCTAGTATTTACAAGTCTCAACTGCGATGCTAAACTGTTAATAAAGTATACAATACATTTACTATATTAATTATATACTCCTAAAAGACCTAAAAATAGAATATTGTTTAGTAGTACTGATGTCATCCAGGGAAATCTGACCATTTTCTGTAATTGGATTGTACTTTAGAGGACTTATTGTAGTCAGTGGCTAAACAGATGTAAAACCGCATTTACCGCAAATTCCGAATAGGAGCCAGCAATAGAGTTAAAGGTGAAGGTGTGATCTTGAGTATCCTGAGACCTTAGTGTGCCACTTGGAGTATTTCTATTAAGATGGGAGATGTTTTCCTTGTTTCGGTCTAGTGCACGTGGAGTCTTTCCATGTCCAGGGGTTCGTAGGCCAAGACCCTACAACAAGACCAGCTAGAATGATGATGTGTTTTTTTTGCAAACTCTTCCATCCTAATTTCAAACTATGATCATAAAGGGAAAATACACCCCATAAAAAACACACTTGCACATTACAATAAAAATGAAAATTACCACATCACCCATTCTCACAAAGTGTACAAGTACACTCTGCGCAGCTGCGACGTCAAAGAATAACAAGTTCAGCGTTTGGTAGAATTTTCCCACACTTTAAGAGCTGTTAATATCATATATAATTGACAGGTACTCCATTAGTGACCAGCATTATAGTGAGAAAATATAAACAGATCTGTGTACAAAGAAATTCATTTAAACTGCCCTGATAGGTCATCCATAGACAAGTTAAAACAGAAAAGGAGCTAATATCCACCCTACCGAACCTCATCATCAAGATGAACAGCACTCAGAACAAGTAGGTCAGTAAGTGCTAACCCTTTTCATGGTCTTTATAATTGCTTAGCCTTCAAAAACAATGCAAATTTTGTTGGAGAGAGAGGACAGCAGAAAGCATACCTTGCTGGCAGACAGAGGTGGTTTCTGGATGGAGGAGTGGCACATGGTTCCACCAAGACCTGAACTAAGAAAGCTGTTGGGAGTGGAGATGGTCGAGGTGCCGTTGAGCTAAGTGGACAAAGGCAGAAAGGCGGGTCAACTTTTTATTCACTCACCCAGTGTCGCTGCACATTCAAGTCACACAGTAAATCTGACAAAACTGCAGCAGCTTCTTACCTTTCTTACTTTCCCAGGTGTGGGAGTCCCTGCTATCCGCCTTTTGGACGGTGTCCTCACTGCTGTTCCGTATAACATGTCCTCCTGAGTCTGTTTAGTTTTCTTCAGTTGCTATTTCAAAAAGAATGTAATCGTATTCACAATACTTCTGTGACAGGAAAATTTAAGACTTTGTAGTTTTTTTTTTTTAGTTTTTTTTACTCAAAGCAATAACATACCCTTTCCATTTTCTCTTTCTCCTTTTCAGTGTGGTGGTGATTCCACTGCTCCTGCACATACTCAAGAAATTTCTGTCCATTCATCAGGAACTCCTTGTCATGCTCCTGCTCCCAAGCATCAATTTGAGTCTTCAGACTCTTTTCCAGCTGGGGAAAAAAAAGAAAGAAGAAAACTTGTTTCACACAGTTGCCATGTTAACAGATTTATCATAGACAGTGAACTGTCAGTCAAAATTATATAAAAGTCTAATTTCTAAAATACCATTCAAAATCTGGTGGACAGCAATCAACATCAAACTCGCACAACCACAGACTAAGATAGTTCATGTTTTAATATCCCCATCTGTTGGCCAAAACTGGTAATGCACCAACAGCCTCTCAGCTGTTTCCACTCTTCTAGCCAATGGATTGCTTGAGCTTGTTTGTTTTATTGTCAATTAATCTAATTTGACAAGTTTTTTTCCCCTTTTGAATTCCCACTAACAGCTTCTCTTGCAAGCGGAAAACAGCTTACAATGGTAATTCTATTTTTGTCTTTAAAGAACAGACTGAACAATTTAAGAAAACAAATTCTCACCTTAGGCAAACTTTTCTGCAGGTCAGTTCTTTGCTTCTCTTCTTTCAGAAGGTTCCCACCTCTGTTGTTGAACCTTGAAGGGTCATTAGCCTTTTTCTGAGATGAGAAAAACATAGATCCACACACACGTTACCACACCAAGTTTGTTTTAAATACTTCCCCACTACATTCATTAATACTGTACTTACGTCAAGTTCCAAGTACAAAGTCCAGTTCTCCTGCCATTTTGTGACTCCTTCAAAGAGCTCTTTGTGGTCCTCGTAATACTTCTTCAGGGTCCTGACCTCAGCCTCGTGCAGGTTGAGAAGCTCCTCAGTGAAGTCATCTGTGGTAAGATAGCATGCAATGAGACCCACACTCCCTGCATATATTCAGTGTAATAGATTTCTGATTAAACAACAGCTACTCACCATCATGATATGGAATAAAAGCCTGCTGCTGTTCTTGGCTGTAGAAGCATCTCTCCCAGAAAAGGGCAATCTCAGCTCTGATGGACTCAATGACACTTTTCATGCTCTGCATTTTGAGCACCTGTAGACGTTGGACCTCAACCTGGAGCTGGAAACACAAAATACAAATTACTAACACTTATTATGGAAGTGTTGGTGGAGCTTTGTGAAACAACACACTACTGCATTGCCTGAAATCACTTATCAATAAGGAAAATAAGGTGAGATTTCTTACTGCCTCAATGTTTTTCTTCTTTGACTTGACCATATGCTCTGAGAGTGCTTCCTTCTCCTCTTGGGGAATCTGAAGTCTTTCCCACAGCTCCTGGATCTTAGTGCGGAAAGCTGAGCAACGGCGCTCATTCTCAGCCTTGCGTTCTTGTAACTGGAAGGAAATCATACATCCATTATAATATTATGCAATACGTGATGTTGTTGAATGTCAAATCATAGCATCACATTAACAAACATCTAGATGCAAGTATCACAAAATCACCTGACTGAGGAGTAGTTTAAGAGCAGCAATGTTGTCATTTGACAGACAAAATGCCTCCTCATCTTCACACATCACATCCATCTCAAAACTGGTCTCCGGGTTCTGCTCCAGATCATCCATGCATACAATAATATCCTTCTTTATGCTCACAAATTCATCATGACGATGCTCCTGAAAAAGACAGTTACAAGTAAGGCATAGCACAACCCATTTTTTTTTAAAGCGAGTAAGAAAGACAAGAAAAGAAAAAAAAAAGAAAGTTAGTAAAACCTTCTCTTTGGTCAGATCATCAAGGTAGGCATGATATGCCTCGAGTTGCTTCAGTGATGGGATGGATTCCTGGTCAATGCAAAAAGGGGTAGTGCACATAATATCACACAGCTCGCGATCTTTGACAATGAGGCCTTTAAGCTCTTCCATTCTTTGCTTCTTGTGCTCCTTCATCACCTCTAGACGTGTGCGGCTGTTTTTCTCCATCTGCAACATTGTGCAGCCATCCTCCTCCTTTAGAGAAATCCAGGGTTAGTTAGTCCAAATGTGTTATCAGTTTCTCTGGGGAAAGAAAAAAGTAATATATTTCCTGAGTGACTGTACCTCAAAGGGGGGCAGCTGAAGATCAGTGCACAAACTGTTAAGTTCCTTGCGACAGGACTCTATGCTTTTCACTAATCTCTTCTTGAGCTCTTCTTCCTCGGCGATCATTAGGTCCAGCAAACCCTGCAAGACAAGGGAAATAAAAAATGCATCCGTTTGTTAGTTCTGTAAGGTCAACAGTGAGAGTTAATTCAAATTGATGTGGGTCTCACTTTAATGTGCTTGTGGACATCATTGGTTCTCTGTAAGCGCTGCTCCTCTGGAATCCCGATTTCCTCCCAAATATCCTGCAACCTGACCAGTGCTCTGTTGAGGTAGGCAACAGACTCTGCCGCGTGGACTTCACTAGAAGAAAAAGTAAGGGTTTGAGTGGGTGGCCTGGGGTTTGAACACCTGTTACCAGTCAAACCAGTCCTGTATTAATATTAACGACGGATTTACAATCAGGCAGCAGGTCTGTTGTTAGCAGAGAGCTGCTAACTTTAGCTAGCTGTCGATGCTGAGGTATTATGTGGTATTAACTGAAACGTTAAATAACACAATCTTACAAGAAGCATTATATTTACAGAAAAGCGAGATTACCGTTCAAAATGACTCATTGCAGCATGCACAGACGGCTACTCCGCCCTAGCGTGTGAAACAAGCTGTGTGCGTTAGCTTTATTTGAAATCAACTGGCTAATCAGGAAACAAGTTTGCTACCTGAATATACCACTGTTAATGTAAACAATTAAGAGTTGAGTTAATTAAACTCTTAAGTACTAACCTCACTCTCATGTTGCCACCGCGGACAGCTAAAAATTATCCAAAAAAAATCTTCTTCAACGGGAAAGCGACCTATCGACGGTTGTCCAGCTGCCGGTTCGTTAGTCGACTCAACTGCGTTTGAATTTTGCAACGAAACAACCTCCGTGCTCTGATTGGCTGATTGAACTGACGTCACAGAAAGTCGTTCTGGGGGCGGTTCTTATTCTTGTCGAGCATAAGAGCAGAAAACAAATAATAGAAAAATAATCAATAAAAATGACACAATCCTGCGTGGTGGTGGTGATAGTAAACCTGTTTCTATTTCCCTTTTTTGCAGTAATTTGTATTTTCTACAGACTGGGAAAAAACATGGTTCCTACCCGGGATTTTTTTCGTCTCAAAAAAGGTGTGATACCTTTCTGAAAATATTGCACAGGTGTTATCCTGTTAATTCAGTTACTGATGAAACTATAACTAATATCTTTTGGGACTGTACCTTTAGTCAGAGGTTTTGGTATGAGCTTAATAACCTTCGAAAAATGAAATTAGACACTCTTTAATACACTTTAGTAGTGATTTTATTCCATTTTGTATCTTTACTTTTGAAATGTCTGTCAAGAAAATTTATGCCGTTAATCTGATTTCTTTATTAGTAAAATTCCATATAAACTCTAGCAAATTTGAATTACAGAACCCCAAGTTTATTGTCTACACAAACTTTAAAGATGTGCAACTAGAGTCTTGGGTGATGAATTTGATCTGTGATTTCTCTTTTTTATTTTATTAATTTTTGCTTTTTATCTGTTTTCTTTCTATATTGATGTATTATTATCTGTGTACTACCTTACACACACAATGCATGAAAATCAAATGAAATGGTAAACTTGGTGTACCAAAGTTAGATTTTGCAAAAAGTGAAAAAAGAAAAAAATCTTTGTGAACTTACAAACAAAAAAACAAAAAACAGGCTTGATTACTCATCCTTTAGGGAAATTCCTGGTTGCAACTTAAAATAAGTTATGAGTAATATTTCTCTATGTTGAAGTATTTTTCTCAAGTAAATAAGCCATCACAGGATTTTGTGAGGTAATTAAATTGAATAAACCGTAGCTAGCCTTAAGTCATAAGTAACTGTCCGTACAAAATTGTTACAAAATTGTTTTTACAAATATAGTAGACAGTAGCGTGAATATGACTGGTGACAGACTGAGCTGCTATTTCAGACTAAGCCACCAGTGGGAAACCTTTCTGTCAGACTGGAAACATCTATCAAAATGGAACAACTATGTTTCAGAATAAGATAGGTCAATCTGTCAGTTGTAAATGTTCTTAGATATTTGGTCATATATCAGAACAGACAGTCAGTTGCTCAGGTACAGACGAATGTAGTATGTCATGATCACAGCTCTTGTAAAGGGGCCAGACCCTCTGTATGAAGTGTCTGTTAATATTTCTTGTTTGAAAGTCATAAAGCTCAGTTAGAAAGACACAAAGTGACCACAAACAGATGCAAATTGATCCCAAACAGCAGCAAACAAACCACCAAGTCATAAAAGGACTACAAAAGGGACACAAAAGACCAAAAAGTGACATAAAACTACAAAAAATAGACACAACGTACCTAGAAAGAGATGTAAAAAAAATGATCAGTCTTCAGTGTGGGGTCCTATATGGGTGCGGGGCCGTCTACCTGTCTGTGCAGGGGCCCATTTTCTCATAATGTGTGCATGCATATCTATCTACCTACGTATCTTTTTCTCAGGACCATCTGCCAGTTCCAATCTTTGGCTCATGTCTGTGCTTCAGCCAGTGTTTGCTCTGTTGTTGCTCATATCTGTTTTTGCATCAGGTTGCGGTCTATGATCATACATTGTATTCCCCCTCTCTGTCTGTGTGGGTGGTGTGCTTGAGTTTTTTCTTTGTTATGTATCTGTAGTCCATCCTCTTTCCAGGCCTCCATGGAACACAGCAGATTTTGTGGTCAAGGTCCTGCCAGTCACTCGTCTTTTCATAGGTACAGATTCACTCCACATCTCTTTAACATCTGTTTGCAGCTGCATTTCAAGTTCCTTAACAAAGAACATTGTGCATGAAGTGCATGGTTGAATTTTCTCCTTCTGTTTCTTTGTTATGTTATTTTGCAGCTCTGAGCTGTATGTAGGAAGTTATTTTATCAGTTAAATGCATTGCTGCTACCTTGTCTTTCTTGTATATTGTAATTCTCTCAGTCTCCTTCTTGTAATTTTACTAATGTTGTCTAATAAGGCTAAAAAATAGAGATATTAATTTGTTGCCATGTTGCCATTAAATTGGAAATGGGATTCAGTTCAATTGAGTAATTTGACAAAAAGAATACAACATAATATTTATTTACAAACATTCATGACAAAAAGGTCACGTAAAAACAGTTTGGGTTTTTTTTGTTTGTTTTTTCTTAGCCGTCCCTGATCTTTATTCATTATTTTATCCTTGTACAAACAAACTTCATTTGAGTCTGAAATAAAGCAATTATGGAAACTTTGTAAATGCCATAGAGGAAGTGCATTAGCACCACAAATAAATAAGTAGGAAGACTTGGTAGTAAAACTAAGTCAAATTGCAAATGTACAGGCAAATTCAATCTTGGCTACTTCAGTGATTTCAGCATAATGACAGATAACCTTAGTTCCCTCATCAGTGAGAATACTGACGTAAGTAGAGGTTCCTCAGCACTTCCTCACTGAACTGATAGGTTAGCTTCTTCTTCACTTTTTTAATCTCTCCAGTTTTACCATAGTTCCTCAGAGCTCGAGCCATTTTTTGGTAGGTCATTTTTTTGCGGTTTCCTTTCTGAATACCCCAGTGGCTGGCCAGAACCTCTTTGTGTTTTGTGGAGAACTGGAAGATGCCCTTGTCCTGGTCCACCCACCAAATACTGTCACTCATGTCACCGTTTCTTAACAAATCCAGGAGGAACTGGTACAGGCGGATTTTCTTCTTGTTGCCTGGAGTGGAAAAATATGAGACTCATTAAAGCTATTCTGTGTGTTATTCACCAGTTTTTCCAGCCTGCAATATGACTTTCAGTACACCAGGATTTGATGTGAGAGGAAAATTTGCAAAGGAAATACTCACTAATGTCTTTCCTGAAGGAGGAGTGGTTGTGATCTTCAAATTCATCTTCCCCTTCGGATACCTCAAGCGGGGGACTGATTTCTCTTTGTTCCTCCTCTGAGTAGTAATGGCCAGGAGAGATGGAAGGTTGGTACTGGTAGCACAGGGATGGGGTGTAATACGGGATCTTCAGGAGAAATTTAAAGCATGTCATAGTTCAAGATTTCACAGAGAAGGGACAGAGCTGCAATTCTTAGGTTTTGCAATCATTCACTGTCTGACATTTTTGCTTAAACACTGTCATTGTGACAAAAGAGGAAGTGGCACTGCCAAAATAGAATTCAAAGCTCAGCAAGATCACGTGGTGCAGATGACATTTCAGTGAAAATATCCCCAACTGTCCACATCAAGTACTGTGTTTGTGCAAGATAAAAAAAAAATACAATGTGTTACTATTGTAACAGCATTACATTTATTGTAAAGAACCACTTACATAATATTAAATGCTGGAGCATGTATAGCCAAACGTATGTTTATATTAATGTTGGTGCTGAAATGATTAGTTGATTCATCAATCAGTTGATCAACAGAGCGATAGTACTTGGCAACTATTTCAGTAATAGTTGAACCATTTGAGAAAAAATGCCAAATTTCTTTGGTTTCAGCTTATTAATTGTGAATATTAGCAGATTTTCTTTGTCATCTATGATGCTGCTTGAGCTTCTGACTAAACAAGTATTTGACACATTTGACCTGTTAATAGATGGTAAGCCCATCCTATGAAAAACACTTAAGAGAAATTGAATTGTTTTTATAAATGATATACTAGATAGCAAGGGTTATTTTCTTATACACTATCAATTTTGCTGTGTGTATGACCAATTATGCCATATTTTTTTATTTCAATCAGTTGCTTTTAGCAATCCCAACTAACTGGATATGGAAATTAAAAAAAGAGAGCAGGTCTGTGCACCTATTATAAGGTGTCATGAATTGTTATCAAAGGAAAAGATTAGTTTAGTTTAACAGTGACCAATCATCATTATGTAGATTCTGTTATGCGGAAGACCAGTTGCATTTGTTTTTTCTTTTAGTCATATGTTGCAAAGGTGTGGGCCAATATTCAAGATTGGCTAAGATTACTTAACATTATTTCAAATATTCACCTTTAAAGATCTTTTCTAGGAGTTTGTTTTGTTTATGTGTCCATATTTATCCCATGTTGAGGGTTCTGCATGAAAACCTCTTCAAATACAATTATTCTTTTAGTCAAAATACATAATAAAAAATAGGCTACGTATGTTTGTTTTTTTTTTTTTTTTTTTTTTTAAAAACACATTGCTTTCGTTTTCTTTCTTTCTTTTGGAAAACATAATTGCTACAAACCAGAGTAGAGTACAGAGTGGCACAACACAATGTGACATGGGAACAGATTTGCTCTAGTGAAGAGTGTGCGGATCAACCTTTGAAATACTGAAGGGATCCCACAAAATTTTATTCATTCTTGTTTGTTTTTTTGCAATGTCATCTTGTCAAGTCACTACATTATCGTGTGTGTTATGTCTACCACTTGCCTAATTGAGATTTTAGTTTCAAATTAAGTGAGGTCATTTGCTGTCATTTTCACTTAAAATGGAGAAAAGGTTTGGTCAAATTAGTACCAAGTTTATCTAAAGATAATAAAAAAAAATTAACAAAACCTTTTTATGCTTGTGATTTTTACACGCAGTAAATATTTCTTCACTCAGGAGAAAAATAGTGAGTAATCTGACTTGTGTGATTCACATTATGTAGAAATACAGGTTTTTCATCACTGCTGCTAATAATAGTATTAGATGCAAAACTGATCTTGTATTGAATTTAGGGATCATTCTGCTCTGGAGTGGTGGCTTTGATTAGACACATTCAGTCAGTATGTATGCATATCAGTATTTTAAATAACACGTGCAGATACTGGTGCCATTATAAATCCTGACACATGAACTTACTTGTGGTGACACAGAGAGAGGTGCGAGTGGTGGGTCCAGGTGAAGGGGCAGGGACTCACTGCTGTAGCGGTAGGGTTGTATGAGCTGCTGAGGAGACACAGACTGGAGCTCTGTGAGGTGATTCACTGGTGAATTCTCAAAGTCCGACGGCTGGATGCGCTCAGAGTGGAAGGTCCATCTATGGTCTGAAAAGTGATAGAAGTTTAAACTCTCGGTCCTTCACTGATTATTCTTCTCCTTTTTTTTTTAAAAAAAAAAAAAACAGTTTAATCCAGTCCTCTCACCTTCATAAATCTCCCCTACATTAGTGAGGTAGGGGTACAGCTCTGCAGGGGGCCGATAATTCTCTGTCTCATTTGGAATAACGTCCTCTGAGGGCTTAAGAGGGGAAAAATTTGATTTTGTCATTGAGAAAGTAGAAATCTGTGTCTTTGATATGACTGCTTTTGATAGAACATGAAGACAAAAAAATGGAAATATACAATATCATAAATAAATGATACAACAGTCCGGGTCACCAGGGTCATATATACATAAATAAGGGTGGGTTTACTTTATGTCAGGGGTTACTTTCCCATTCCACAAGAAAAGTAAACATGTCATTAAACACAAACTAAAATGTAAGTCTTCCTTCTCTTCTCATATTCACATAAATCAATAAATGACATGGATCATTAGACTTATTTAAAAAGCACATTAACTGTATCGTATTCAAAAATAGAAACAGCCACAGAAACACATGGAAGTGTCACACGGTCAAACAGTGTGACCGGAGACTGAAACACTGGATTTGTTCAGTAAAAAGTCAAATATGAAACAATAAAGCAGCAGAACTTACAGGTGACATGACATAGCCGTCCATCATGTAAACAAGGCAGCATGAGATCTAGGTTCTTGAAGCTGGAAATGATTGTTAACTTTTTCTAATTGCTTCACTGACAAACACGCAATGTTGCTGAGCACAGACTTCGGCCGACAAATGGGAACTGAGAGTGAGAAATAAGTTGGACCCTATACAGTCTGCGTTCATCCAATTATCAAATTCTTATGATCAGATACTTCCTGATGGCCAAGTTCATGTGTATGAGCCAATCACAATTTCACTCATTTCCTGCACATGTAGGAGGTGTAATCATACAATGAAAGAGAAGTTTATGGGCAATTACTGTGAATCTATAATAATTTGAAATATATATATTATGGTTCAGAAAAAAAAAGTAATAGTAGCAGGAATCTGTGCTGTTTAAAAGTTATCCTTCATCAAATCATATGAAAATATGTTTTTGTATTAGTGTGCCCTTTGGGTGGCATTTGAGACAAGCATGTCAACTGTTTGAGAGAGAAGTCACACTATTAGACAGTATTTGTTATCTCACATATTCGGTGGTGTTCCCTTGTATGTGTCACCCCCCCATCCCCCCTTCCCCCCTCAGCTCAAACCAAACTGACATGATTTTGTTTTGTAATTCGACACCTCATACTTAAATAGAAAAGGCTTTAGTGGCATGTGCAGGAAAATGTGATCTACTTGTTTTCTTACTATCAATCACAACAAATCCCCAGAATTATTTATTCATGTAGGAATTTTTTTAAGACTTACTGCACACAAGAGCTGAAACCAAAAGTGAAGTTTGGAATTGGGCTTGTTCCCCTTTTAGTATAGCATTATGGTTTCAATTGAGGAAGTTTTGAGCATGAGAATGAAACCAGTGAAAACAAATGTCTGGAGCTGCAGCCGCTGTAACTTGTTTTGTAATGTTGAATAAAACCTATAGACGTGGGGACATACATCTGTCATGTTCAGAATGTCTTGGATGTACAACTAACACTTGAATCCTACATGATGCTGTTAGATAGTGGTTACACAGGCACCTTTTCACATGAGCCAAACAGTATCACGCTGTAGACTTGGCCCTGTTGGGATGGAAAGTTACCAGAGGCAATGTGTGAGATGTGATGAAACTGTTTCCTGCATACCAGAAGGCGAAGATGAGGCTCTTGGTGAAGTTTAGTCTGGTCTGTCTTTCAGTGTTTCATAACTGAACACTTTAGACAGCAGCAGCTGAGTTGATATAGCACATGATCTATTAGAAAAAAACAAAAAAACAAACGGGGAGTTTACTTCCTCTAGTAGGACTGTGTCAAACTTTGGCAATCTCTCCCTACAGATCATAATCTACAGCGCGGTGAGAGCAGGCCTGGGGCTTGTTGTGCTCTCAAATATTTACTCTGTCTCCATCTACTGGAAAAGAAATGTTGGACTGGCCAGTATCTAGGCTAGACTGAGTTCAGAGGCAAAGAGGAGACATCCAAAATAGCTCATCGAGGCCCAAATTTATTTATCCTCTGCCTCGGAATTTGGTTTTTTGCGGCGATGGTTGACAAATCAAAGAAATGAGGGCTTTGGGGTTTTATCTGCGTTTCACATTTCCTCGTATTGCTGAATTTCCTCCCCACGTCAGACACTGACAGGCAGCAGCCAGGAACGGAGTCCTGCTGTCCCGTGGAATTATCACGGCACCGAGGCGAGATACGCATGGAACATGGCTGCTATGAGGACTTTAACCGTGGCAGGTCTCTTTTTGGCTTTTTGCGCTTTGGGGCTGATAGCAATCGCGATCAGCACTGACAACTGGTACGAGACCGACGCGAGGAGGAACCGGGAACGCTGCAAGAATTATTCAAACAAAAGAAACCCCGACCCCGGCTACATCTACATCTCCAACAACAACCTCCCGCTCCGCATGTTGCCAAAGGAGAAAAATGTGGAGAGGAAGGGCTCCAGTGTCAGCGGCGAGATGCTGCTGCGGGCCAAGCGGCACTTCTTGCCTCCTGCCCCGGCCATGGAGTCCCTCTGCAGTCGGCAATTCAACTCCACCATCACCGGACTGTGGAGAAAGTGCCACCGAGAGGGATTTGACTTGGAGACAGAGGATTTGATCTTTAAAGGTTTGTTTTTTTGTTGTGGGGGAGGGGTCATAATTGTGTTATAATGTGTTTATTTTGGACATTTGTGTTGTTGTGCGAGGCGCTGTCTGTAAATACTTTGTGCACGAATGCGCTATCCAAGGTGCTGATGCTGCGCACAGACCCTCAAGGCCTACGCAGTATACCACGGAGTACAGTTACAATACGATCGACGCGCTGTGTTATTTCCCAGCACAAAAGGGCAAGCTGTAGTAACAGAAGCCTCAAGATGCGTACAATAAGCTACTCTACAATGGTGTGGGTGGATGGGTGGGTGGTGGTGGAAGGGGGTTGGGTGCTTTTTTTTTGGGAGATTGGTGGGTGGGGGGAGTGGGGGGAGGCAGCAGAGAGCCTTGTGATATCCTCTTCATCTGATCTCAGTGCTTTTGTGACACCCTCTCTGCGTTGTTTACATCCACAGGATTGGTTCCGCGCTGCACACCAATAAAATACTACTACTCATCATCAGCGCTCCCCAGAAATCTGCCAATCAATCTGACGAAGACAATAAGGCAGGATGAGTGGCACGCGCTCCGTGAGTTCCCCCAAAAACGCCTTTAAAAAAAAAAAAAAAAAAAAAAAAAAAAAAAATCTGATGAATAAATGCAAAGAAACTTGGCATCATCCCCCAACAAACACTGTTACTTGTGTTGTGCGCTTTGCAGACCTCCAGAGGATGACTGCAAGCTTCATAGGCATGGCCATATCCATCATCCTGTTCGGCTGGATCATAGGCGTGCTGGGCTGCTGTAAGGAGCATGATCTGATGCAGTATGTCGCTGGACTTCTCTTCCTCATGGGAGGTAAGATGTACTTTACATAAAGAGCACTACCCAGAATCACCACAGAGGGGCAGCAGGGTCTTTATCAATGAAAAGCTGGTGAAATGATGCATCAGAGGGGATGAAATTGGGTTGCTGTGATGTCTGACTGGCTTTTCTCCTCCTCTCTGGCAGGGACATGCTGCATAATCTCTCTCTGCACGTGTGTGGCCGGGATCAACTTTGAACTGTCCCGTTATCCTCGCTACATGTTTGGCATACCCGAAGACATCAGTCACGGTTATGGCTGGTCTATGTTCTGTGCGTGGGGAGGACTGGGCCTTACGTTGCTGGCTGGTTTCCTGTGCACACTCGCTCCTTCCCTCTACCCTCCACACAGCCCTGTGGTGCACAAGCCCAGGCAGGAGAACGGCTGTGTCTGACAGGCCGCCGCACATCTAACAGACACCTGTCTCATCCTGAAACAGTGATGAGCCCTGTTCCAGAGACAGTTTTACCCAGGGACTCAGAGCAGAGTGAGCCTTCACACGGCTGGGCACAGAGAAAGCACAGGACACTGGCTCTCGCTCACATGAAAATGAAAAAGAGGTGACATTTGACTGAAGAAGATTTCAGTTCCTCTGGTGCTTTTTTTCTGTCCCTCTTTATGAATGAACTGTTCAGTGTTATTGCTTGCTCTTCAAGAGGAGAATAGTTATACAAATTTTCTTCCTGTAAAATCTGCTAGTTTGAGAAGAAAAAAAAGAAAAAGAAACACTGGCAGAAGACCCATAGCACAACTTTGAAATCTGTATTGAAGATCAATCTATGGATGTGTACTGTCACATTTCAAAGGGCAACTGTGTATCATTATGTACCCATTCAAAACAAGATATGTACATGTACTTTTTAAATTGTATGTATGCAGATGCATTTGTGTTTATCCAAGGAAAATATGAGCATTAAGACCAAACTGTGTTTGAGGGAAATGTTTTGTTGTTCTTGAGGTCTAACCCCCATCAAAATATTTTTGAAAAATAAAACAGCCATGCAAAACTAAATGTTTTTCCTGTGTTAGACACTAAACAGACATCATACAAAGTTCCTTGTGGTTGTCTTTCCTCTTGCATTACGACATGAGTTTATTGGTATGTCAGCAGGCGGAGAGGCAGCTAATGGAGTCAAAACCTTTACTGCGGCAGAGCTGTTGGTGTTACAGGCCTATGTTAAAAGCAGCCCCTTGCAAATGTCAGTGGCCAATTCTTGAGTCAGTGACCAAAACTGAAGAAAAAAAAAATCCAAATAAAACAGAACAGAAAAAGTGAAGTAACTGTCTGCTGTGAACTACGGTGAAATAAAACCCCCTTTATAAACATCACTGATCCATAAAAAAAAGGAAATCCAGATAACTACAGAAAAAGGTCTTGGATTACACACTTTACAAACATGCTGACAACTGCACAGATTTGCACTTGTATTACGATTGATTTAATAAACTGTTTTTTTGTTTTCCATTGACAACATACATACCAGCCACTGAGCTGTAATTACTTTCCCACAACTTTTATGAGAAATGAGGCCTTTCTGACATGTAATTCGAATGCTGGCTTCACTCGTTTCCTGAGGTTTCTGCGCTCCTTAGCATCTTCTCTTCACTATTGTATTACTCAAATTATATTGAATATCTTTATAGAGTTGTTATTATATGCAGCCGCAACCTTGAAAGAAATCCTTGCTGCTAACCCATGTTGACCACTGGAGCAATTACAAGGTTATGATATAATAAATGGTACACAGAATATTATAAAACACAGAAAATAAGATTATCTGTACTTTCTGACAAGCGGGAAGATGAGTAGCTCGGACAGTTATATTGTTTTAGTGCAGCAGTAATTCGCCTGTGCCTATTGCTCGTATATGAGCTGAACAAACTTCAGAAAGGGAAGAAGCAGTTCTTTACTTAAGCGCAGTGAAATGTATTCATATAAACTCATAGTAAAGAATGGTTCCTTTTGCAGTGTTACGTTGTTGTTGCACTGAACTCTCTCTGGTCACAGAACACCTGCAGCACGAGTCTAATGAGGAGAAAATCCTACACGTCCTGTATGTTCTCACAGATTCAAGGAGTAATGTAACATTGTTATAGTCTAATTACTCCACATATTCTGGACAAGTTAACACGTCTAATTTTATGAAGTCAAGAGTATGTTTTGAATTTAAAACCTCATTAGGACTGATTGCAGACTGAGCAGTGATAGAAAGTACCCGAGTACATATTTTTTCACTATATTCTATCAAATTACTTGTACAAAATGTAATCAACTAATAAATTATAACGTATTCTGATATATTTATGAATCAATAATTATAATACAGTGATATAGTTCTGAAATAGGTCATTCTGGATAGCGAGTATCTTTACTTTTGGAGTATATTTTAATGTATTTTTAGTATATTTTTGAATGCAGTTCTTTTATTGCATAATGTACTGTGGTACATTATTTCTACTTTTACTAAAAGACACAGCCACTGTGTCTGAGTAAATATATGTAAATATGACTAGACCATAAAAATGATTAGACCATTTAAATTTTGTTATATTCGTAACATTTGTTAAAGCTTCATTCTACACTTAGCATGAAAGTTTATTCTTCAAACTAATCTGAACTCAAGGTCCCACTGATGAAGACTGAAAAACCCCAGTGTAACTGGTTGAAATGATTTTGTCAGAATCATGCTGTTCTTGTTAAAGTGTGAGCAAAGACGTCTTTTCCTCAAACAAGGACTGTGAAATAAAAGAGCAGATGTAGCTGAAGGAGGGTAATGGTATTAGTAGTGGTGGTAGGTGGTAGTTAATAGTATTCACTGCAGTGATAATTATAGTAGGACTAGTAGCCAGTATTCAAATCACTCTCATCTTTCTAATAATAACAGCGCTACAGAGGCATGTGGTTTTGGGGCTTTGTGCTCTGCACGGAGAAGGATGACTCTGTTCTCAGGTCAACTCTGGTCTGCATTCCTGACCTTTCTTTGTTTGTCCTTAAAATATGTCAGAGAGGAGAATACATTCTTCTATCAGCAGGCTCAACACTCAGACCTCCCTGCTTCTCAGCATCAGGGGCCTGAAGCTAAACTGCAGAAAAAATATTTTTCTATAGGTGGAATTAATGATTTAGGCCAAAAAAGACATTAAGTATGATGGGCTGATTGTCTGGAGCTTTCGTTCCCCGCGCTACCTTTATTTACACAGTGGAAAATTTAACCAAATCTTTTAATCAAATCGTCTGAGCCCTGAGCAGTGCCCCTGGAAATTAAGCACCATATAGACATATAGGGTTTCTCTGCACATGGAGCTCCTGCAGCGCAGCGCTCTGCCGAGCTACAGAGAGCTGTTTTTAAAAAGGGGTCCTCCAGGGGAAGCTGGACTGTGAGGAAAACCAGACAGAGGAAATCACACCCAGTTGCGCCCATAGCCGCCCATCTGGCTCCCTCACATCTGCAGAGACATTATCTCTGTAAAAAGTTGGCACGCTTATGGCAGTTACTTTGTGGTTGATGCAAACGTTGGCTACAAGAAGAGCATTTTAAATGGTAGTTAAAGATAGAAAATAAACACATGACTACCAAAGGCATTCAAAATATTAAGTTTAAGGCACTGCAAATAGATTAGTGTGTGTGTGTGTGTGTGTGTATGAGAGATCCTGGAGGGAAGAATTAATGTCTTTCAGGAATTCCAAACTACTTTCCTCCCATAAACAGTGAGTCTGAAATAAGATGTGCTATGTCAACACAAAAGCAAAGCATTTTGATAAGGATTTAAACAAGCTATGTGTTATTTATAAATCTATTTTTAGAAAAATGACACCATCCAAGACAACTCAGAATGTCAATTCAAAAACATTTCATATCAACCACGAACTCAAAAGACTGACAGACAAAAGAATAGATGATAATGACAGCGGCTGCCTTCGGACAAACATATTTCATGCTTGAGCAGATGATTTCCAGATGGAAGTGGGAGGAACTGACAGACCTCAGAAGCCAATTAACCAGGGCCACTTGAAGGGACAGTCGAATCTGCCACTTGTAGTGCCAAAAAATAAACATGGTGACATAAAGACATGACAACGGTGGAGGGTCGCTTTCCACTGCTGAAGATCAAATGTTCAGATTTCAAAAGGTTTTTATGTTTATGTAAACCTCAAGCTTCAAAGGATGGAGGTGGTTTTACAATAGAGCACTGTGTGACTGTTGTAGCCTACGTCTCAGGACAAACACGCTATGGAAAACACATGAATTTCACACGAAAACCAAAATTTGCTCAAAAGAAGAAGGCAAAGTTAGGACATGTGATGAAAATTAAGTATTTATTTGCTTAGTTATAATAACCTAAAATCGGAAACATCATACTTTAAACCATACACACAGAAAGTTGGCCAGTTTATTGATCCAGAAGCCAATAAATCCAACTTTTGTTTTCATAGCCTACTTTCTACTGAATAAAATTCTTCCACAGAAGTGGCACAGAGGGTTCCTAGCAGACATAGCTAATTTATGTTCACATTTCCTTTCTCCCTCCTGACTCAGAGGAATGTGTTGATGTTTTTGTTAGAGCTCCCTTTTAACGGCACAAGTTCCAAGGAATGGGGATAACCACAAGGTCAGAGATATTCAAATACTTGGGAAGGGTATTCATAAGCCACAATGTACTTTCCAGTTGTTTGTTGAACTGGAGGGTCCTCTCTCTATCTCTCTCACACACACGCGCGCACACGCGCACACACATTAAGCTGCCTTAACCCCACTATGAGCCAAAGTTAAGATACTCAGTCTTCAGGCGGCTCAGTCTGGTGCCATGACTGCGAATAATGAGCGCGAGGAGCTCATGTTTATCTTTAAGTCCCAGAGAGATGTCCGTAGTTTCCCTCAGAGTGTCCCTGATGTCACTCACTTGCTTCACTACATGGCCGTTCAGCTGTTGCTCCTCTCTCAGCTCAGTTTCTTGACTTTGTTTAAACTTCACCTCCAGCTCTAGCAGAGACTTGTCCACGTTTGAAAACGCCTCGCTGATCTGGGAGATCTCCCGCTGGAGGAACTTGCCGTAGCTGTCCTCTCCGTCCAGGTCGTGCGCCACAGTCCGGCCGATGCCCTCCAGCAGCCGCGCCGCGTCCTCCGCCTGCAGCTTGGTGATGACGAAGTCGTCCCGCACCACGGAGTCGCGCTCCTCGGAGGCACCACATGGATACACATCCGAGAATTTAAACAGCATCTGGCACTGCTCCGGGTCTTCCGTCTCGTCGTAGTCCCCGTCCGGGACAAAGAAGTGATGGAAAGTGCCATTGGAGATCTCCGGCTGGAGGGGCCCGGTGTAGACTGCCGAACAAACCGGCCAAGATGCGACTATGATGAGCAGCAGTGGGACGGGATCCATCATGTACCTCCTCTCTCTCTTTGACGACCAGCATCTGTACTGGCAGCAGGATCCAGCGCACAGTTTTGATCCCGACTCATGTTACACAGCTCCCCGTCACCTAAAAGGCACAGACCGTCTGTTCGAGTAAGGAGGGCCCCTGGTGGCCCCCAACCACACAGTGTCAGTGCAGAGGCACGAGGCTGCTTTCCAACAATAGTCACACGAAACAATGACTAAGTTTATACTGTTACACTAGGCCTATAATTAGCCCATATCTTTTATATATATATATATATATATATATATTTTCTGACTACATAATGTTGAAGCAGGATTCACAACATAAACTGACAGTTTGGCTTATGTGTGCAAAATTATAATTTCACCTCTCTCATCCAGTCCTATTTCAAGACAGACTTGTTTTATTCCAGTTTGCTTTGTTGTTTGTTTTACAGCATTTATCAGTAACTTACTAACTTATGTAGCCTGTCAATCAAATTAGGAGCAATTTCAGGGTTTACTCTTGTGTTTTGTGCATAATCAGCAGCTCAATTTGCATTTTTTTCTCTACACTTTGTTCTTGTGTTTCTCCTACCAGAAACATTTTCTGAGCTTTTATAAAAGCCTCATTAATGTCAGTCACTGTATGAAAACAATAAGAAAAAAATTAAAGTAGTAAACCAAAGTCTCAAGTCCTGGCAAGTCCAGGAGTCTTTGCTAAAGTCACAAACACCTTTAAGTACTAATAATTAAACACTTAATCTCTGCCTGGATACAATCCTCTCTGCTACAAACACCAACCTGTTCTCACAAGTGTACAGTCTTGCCTAACCCTGATCACATAACAGAACAAAACAATAATAATTTCCCTAATGGTAAAATAAAACTAATAAACATTTTCAGAATCCATGTGTCAACATTTACACTGTCAAAAAAAAAACAACAAAAAACAATTAAATTGATTATTTCAGTTCCCAACGAATAAGTCATGCCAAAAAACTATGCATGCAATAAAAGAGAAAACGGCCTAGGAGTACACAGGAATGAGGTTTGGATGAGTAGCTTTAAACAACAGATTGAGTGCATGTTAAGAGAGTGCAGATCCATTGCAATTGCATTCCCAGACTGTGAGAGTTAGGGCAGAGTAGTTAGAGCTCACTCTGATGACTTCAGTCAGGTGATTACATTACTGCACTGAGGGAGAGTCCCCTGGGATATGATCCCCTCTACTGCACATCCTGTCTTGGATAATTACATCATCAGTAGGTGGTCTCAGATACGGCTCTCAACATGTCAGTGGTATACTCGCACAAACTGGAAACATATGGCGGGCTGCAAACACTGGGCTGGAAAGTGCCCAGTTTTGTTTGATCCATCCATCTATATCCTATACTGTATCTGGAGCAGCAGGGGGTTTGTGTTTTTGTTGCTACAAAACATGGTTGAGATGAGACACACTGATTTTTCAAAAATAACACATAACAGACCGGATTATTTGCCAAAAAAATTGAAGAATGGAAAATACAAAATGTGCTTGGTCACACAGCTACTGGCTGGAGTGCTGGCTGCGCATGTTCCCTCCCTCACCTTCCTCGACTGAGACCAACAAGCAGATTAGAGCAGGGGGATAAAAAAAGGGTTTACTTCACCGAGAGACGGGACACAGGTTGGCAAGAGGTAAGCAGTCAGCAGAGGTAAACAAAACAAAACCAAAAGGGTTCAAGCAGGCAGGTAAAAATATATTAAAAAAAACTAGCTGTGATCAAAAAAGATCAAAAAACAGAAAGGCAGATACAAGAAAACAAGTTTGGAACAGGCAGTCCAAGTCCAGTTGTCCTCGACTCAACTCTTGTTGTATAGGCCTATGTCTTCAACACTATAACTAGGAGGCAGGCTGCTTTAAATACAACCTGTATTGTATTTGTATTTAAATACAATCTGAACTGTATTTAAAGCAGTGATCTTTTTTTTCCAGGGTTAAACACAACACTGACGTACACCGACAACACATCCAGCAGACACTCAGTAACATTATCATGAATTTGGAGTTGTGTTTCTGTCCACGTGATCAATGAAAGTCCAATACTTGCTCTCTTTTTAGATCTATTTTTGGTCTCTCCAACTCCTGAACATTTTCTGTGGGTTTGTCACTATGAACAACCACTTTTACATTACACACAGATCTATTGTTAATATAGAAATATTGATTATTGCAAGTTTAAAACGTTTTTTTCAGCATTACTGAACAGAACTTATATTACTCTGGACCTTGAACTGACGCTGATATTCTCTCTGCTGATGGAGTTAAACCTTTTCCACTCTATATTTGTCACAGACACACTTTGCACTTTCTATTTGATTTATTTTTAAAGTCTGAGTCACGACCTAACAGTAGCTCATGACAGATTTTAAAGGTGTCACCAAGGGGTCAGCACTTAAAAGAAAAAGTCAGTGTCATGGCATCTGCAGCACAATAGTGCAGTCATAACATTCAGTATGAAGTTATGGAAATGTTTAACAATTGCACTTTAGAACAACGGTGGGAAACCTAGTAAATGCATGTGTTTTGTATTTACCCCTCTAACTTTGGGTCACCAGAGAAAAGCTTTTTAGACAAAAAAGTTGTTTGTTTGAAAACTACTGTTGCACTGCTGAATGAACGATACAAGCAAAGATAGTTTGAGGCTTCCCAGCATGCAGGCTTTCCCTGTTCCTTCATAAGTCACACACCTGAATAAATACACTGTCATAAACACTGATGGAGTAAACTGACCAGCTCGCCAAGACAGAGCGGGTTACTGCAGGGCAAAGCTGTCTGAAGGCAGATGTAGCAACAGATGCAACAACAAATATAATTTAGCGGAGTTGCGAGGGATGTTCTTGTTGATCCTCTACTGTATACTGTTATGTGTGTGTGCATGTGTGCGTGTGTGCGTGCGTGCGTGTGTGTTCGTGTGTACACAGAGGACTGAGGGCTGTAGTTTGGACAGATGCCTTTCAGATGGTGGTGATGGGTTTCCTCTCAGTGCTGATCTGAGAGAGCAAGAGAGTCAAGTGCCTGCAGGCTGTGTGGGAGGCTGCAGAGACTGATTCACAGTGAATCTTAATGACCTCATGCTCATCACAACCAGAAGAATTAGTTAGATTTAATAATTCACAAGACAGAGGTTTTGGCTAGTTATCAGCCGTGAATGTGGGTTAATTTATGTAGCCCTTCATTACAGCAAGCTCTTAAAGGAATTAAGACATTTACATATGGCTAATCAACAATCACATTTTTAACCTTTTTAAAACACCTTTCATGGTGTTTTTTATATAATGCAAGACATATCACGAGCGAAATAAGCAGTCAATGCCATGACTGAGTATTTCCACCTTGGAACTGCAGTGAACCCATGGATGCAATGACAGTCTCATAAACACAGATTCATTCAGCCAGGGTTTCATACATCACACACCTAAGGAACCAATCCTGTCAACTTGCGGGGACCGGGGTGGGCAAAATAAACCTGAAGCATTGTCAGTACAGAGAGCGAGAGTTAGCATTAGCACAGCTACTAACACTGTGTCAGCCACTGCCAGATACAAGCTAACAAATAACATAAACAAATAACTAGCTTACCTTTCTGATACCTCTTCTAGTTACAGATCTTGGTGCACAACAAACTCCTCACTCCGCAACAAACTCCTGGGTCTGGGACTGACACAGGCTCAAACATGTGGCAGAGTCTCTGCTGTTTCCTCTGCTAACCATCTTGATAGGCACCGATGTTTCACCTGTGCAAGCAGCGGTGGTGGGCGGGGCTTAAAGCCTCGTGTTTCTCAATGAGGAAGTAAGTGTAGATGTGCTTCCAGCCCCACTTTTCCACTTTCCCCCCACTTTTTATGTGGGAAAACCTTAAACCTTAAAACATGTCTGGAGAGGAATTTTAATATCAGTGTAGTTTAGATATTCCTGCAGAAAATTTAACAAATATTGACAGATCACTTCATAAAGAGCAGTGTGAAGTGTATTAAAAATACATCCATGGAGAGATTCAATGAAGCAGAGGAAGTAATTATTCCATTGTCAGAGGCCTCATTAGACTGTAATGCAATACTGCCACAAGACATACCATTTTGTGCTATTTTTCACCTATATTTCACCTTTATAATCACTGCCACAGACATTTTTGTTGTCTCTTCCTACACCTATAGACAACAGCTGACTGATGACACTTTCATGAGCCCGCGTGCTGAACAATGTTTAAAAGCAATAAGGTCACAAACTTTCTGGAAAGTGGGCGCATCAAATCCACAGGAAACAAAGTCACTGACGGTCACAGATGTATATCCAAAGGTGAAAGAAATCTTCCATCATGCCCCTGACAGTCTTATTAAAGGGAACAGTGTTGATGACAAATAACCTCTGCCCTCAGCTTTGACACCACCTCTCTGGACCCCCTCCAGTAGAAGCACATCCTATCAGCCCATAATCCTGAGATACAGCTCCTACCAGACTCAGGCCCTGACTCTGCTCTTCCAGTGACAATAACTACATGCAGAAGGACTGTTTGTTGGAAATTTAGAAAACAGTGTTTGTTAAAACTTAATTATTTGTCGCTCAATTATCAGCGTTCTGTCGCTCAGCCTCCTCACTCTGCTCATCATACTGTTTTGTGTTATGTTGTCTGCTCTCGGGATGTCTTTTTCCCATGTGTACAACCTTTGTGTAACCCTTTTTCAGCCCCCAAGCAAGCATTTTGACATAGCATGAAGTGTTTTTGTTTTGTTGCTGTATAACTAATGATTTCCAGTTCTCTGTCTCATCGGATCATGCTGTTCCCAGGTTTTCCTTCACTGTAGTTTTCAGTGGATCTCTACACAATTCTTCATTTAAACTGACGATACTGATGACCACACAAACCAGTTAATTATTCATCATCACACTCAGAACTGTGACCTATCAGGGCCGCCAGCAACTAACCAAAATGTGTTATTTACAGATTAATTTGTGCTGCAGACCACAAAGTTAAGGTGAACAAGCAGATCCAATATGTCAAATTTTATAGTGTGATGCTGGATGTTGGATCAGTTTGCAGGTGGGGCACCCTGCATATAAAGGAAAAATAGCACAAAATTATGATTTACAAAGTTTTC